TTGTGTGATTCCAACAATTTATTCTAAGTGGTTTTATATATTCTTTAAACCTATTTCCAGTTATTGAGCTAGTTGCTTTAGGAGTTACCTAACGTTTCAGACCTTTTTACTTGAATTTGGTTCACTTGTAAATACAGCTTATCCTTGCATAATAATAGATCCATTTTCATTAATTTCCAAATATATAAAACCAATCTGGTGGTTTCCCACTAAAATATGATTGTTGCTCCCAAAGTCTGGTGGATTTCCGGTGGGTTTAGGTTGCCGTTTAGCTGGTGGACTTTGTTGGCAATCCGGCAAAGGAGTATTACGGTCAACGTGTTCACACACCACTATGTACAAATTGATTTAAGATATGATTTCTAATATATTTTTCGTAATTCTGACGTTTAACCATTTTGGATTTAAATAAATGAATAATAAGGAGAATGGCTGACAACATCGACATATCGGCGATTGGGCGATTGTTGGTGTCGGCAAAATTCCTGTGTAGGCCAATCTCTAATTAATATGCAGGGTGTCCAAGATATCCTATGCATAGGGATTTCAATACCTGTGGGAGATATAGCTTAGGTTGTATTGAGAAAAAGTTGCGTTCTATGTGGCGTATTTATATGCCGTTCAGTATGTGTTTCAAATCAAATATTTTCCCCGCAGCTCTAAAAATATCCAGGGTAATTCCTATATAAAAAGACGGGTTTGTTGACGAAGTTTCGAACCACCGTCCTATATCATTCGTACCCTGCTTCACGAAAATCTTTGAAATTATACACAAGGACCAACTGAGCAATTATCTCGAAACCAACAATTTCCTAAATTCTCATCAATATGGCTTTAGAGGAGGATTATCAACCATTACTGCAATAAACAGTTTTATTGACATTGTACACGATGGATTTAAAAATAAGCGATATATAGAGGCAAATTCCTTCGATCTGAGCAAGGCCTTCGATTGGGTACAGCATGATATACTTCTTTCAAAGCTACCGTATTATTCAATTGATCCTTCTGCTGTAGTCCTCCTGAAATCCTATTTAGAACAAAGGCAACAGCTCGTCGAATACAATGGCTGCACATCGTCAGTCAGCACAGTTTTACATGGCGTGCCACAAGGATCTGTCCTTGGCCCTTTGCTATTCTTACTCTATATAAACGACCTACCAAATTGTCTTCCTAATAGTATGAACAGTAAGCTCATTCTTTATGCTGATGACACCACTCTGGTCTCAGCCCACAAACATCAACAGCGAAACGACAGCCAGTATATACGTATATATAGCATTCAGAATTGGTTTATAGCTAACAAATGAACCTTAAATTCAAACAAATCTCAATTCTTAATTTAAGACACTCAGTTTCTCTAAACGTCATGTTGACCAGTTACCATGGGTACTTCCATATAAAAATGACATACGCCCTTCTCGCGTGGGGCCACTCTCCCCACATGTACAGAGTATTTGCCCTACAGAGAAGATGTATCCGATATATAGCAAATCTAAAATATAGAGATCCCTGCAGATCTGAGTTTATCAAACTAAAGATCATGACTTTGGCCGGTGCATATACGAGTATATTGAGCTGCCTCTCGCATGTCAAGTCAAATTGCTCTTGTCGGCTGCTTTTTTCACCATTGACGAGTTCCTCAACCACAACTTCTCCACGGATACTCAATAGTTATATTTCATGCTACATTTTCTTTTTTTGCTTCTTATTCGAACCATGTATAACATATAA